AGTGTTGCGCAATGATGAAAGGTCTGGTCTTATTTAATATTCTGTAAAAGGCTTGTTTGAATCTTTCGCTAGGGAACCTTTTTTTTTTGGATAACATGGGGAAGGGTGACCCCCCCCCCTCTACCAAGTTTTTATTGCTACCAAGTTTTTATTGCTTTTGTATTCCCATGGGGGAGATTCACTTCTTATTTTTCAATGGTGCCCTATAACATTGAGGAAAGAAATCCCAAAATTTGTGGTTCTCCCTAGAGCAGGGGAGAAAGGACAATGGGGCTTCCTGTTTTGGGGAAACTGTTTAATAGAGGAATTCCCCAAACTTCAGAAGATTTCTTCTAAATTTCTGTTGCATCTTTGGGACAGGAAGTGAAGAGAAATTTCCCCAATGGTACACAGACAACAATAAAAAAAATAGTACACAAGCCAACCCTTTAGAATAAGTTGGCAAGGAGATCTAGGTTTTGCAGATCCTCAAAAGGTGGCTCATAACTTGCTATATACATGGAATTGGAACAGGAATAGCACCACTTTAAATAAAAATTACTGTAGTAACTGTATATTAAAAGAAACTTTACTCATTTGCTCCCCACTGCTCCATTTAGCCACCCAGAGTGAAGAGCGGAAACATTGTAGAAACGCTGGAGTTTATAAAGCTGAAGATTCTCTCCCCACCTCAATGTGACAAGAGTGAGTTACATGCTCCTCCATACTTGGCAGTGGCATCAATTCTTGTTAGCTTCCAGCAGAGAAACAAAGAGGCTTAGAACCAAAGGGAAGTATGTGCTGCTGGGAAAATATGAGAGAGAAGCATTGACAGAACAAGTACTGCAACATAAACATGGGGTGCAGTGGCAGGAACGGGCACCACGGCATTAAACTTTGCATGATTGTATGAGCGCTGCTGCTCTGTGTCAAAATACTTTAAAGGGTATATAATGCACAAATGGATGGAGTAGCAAAGGAAAGAAACCCTATCAGTTTCTATTGCTTTTTTGTGTGTCTCTGCTTGATCCTCCTAGTGACCTAGATCATCGGGAAAGAAAATCATGGAAAAATAGAATTTTGGATTGTCAAGCAATCAGGAGGCAAACACAAATCTAATTGGGAAACTTGTTGCAGTGAGAACTGTCAAAGAGAGAATTTCTATCACTTAGGAAATATTTCCTCTCACTTCCTGTCATGTCCATGGCACAAGAACAAAAGAGAAACGTTTCCAATGTGACAAAGATGGCAAAAAAATATTTTCACCCTTCACTACAATACACAAAAAAAAGTTTGGGTTTTTAGATACTTCGCCTGCTTATGTGTATTGGCCATTTGGCTCTAGACACTGACTAGGTGCAGGTGGTTGGAAATATTGGCTTTCGATGTCCATGAGTATGGGCTCTAAATTGCTTTTATTTTTCAGTGCAGGTGGACGCTGGATTCAAGGCACCCAACCGCAAATGTAAATAATTGTAATTTTGTGTCAGGTTAGTATAACATCTTCATTTCCACTATATAGGACAAAGAACATCACCCTCAGCTGCTATGGTGAGACTGTATGAGTGAGCAACACTTATCACAGTAATGTCTTGCAATCTCAAATACGAAATAAAGATGAATTCCATTAAAGTTTTTATGGGGCACACAACACTGGCAACATCAATTACCACTAATAAAGACTAGCCCATGTCCTGCTGTCAGTTACGGTAAAAGTTTTCCCTCCATTGATGCCAGATATTCCTCACATCGGTCATCTTTCGGCACTGCAAGGATGAGAGGCTGCGGATGAGACTCGGAAGGATTACGAGATTCAACCTCCTCTTCTTGTCCCCTCATCCATTCACAGAAGTCCTTGTGTTGTTTTACCAGAATGCAAGGTGTTTGCTGAATGGAGGAGGGTGGATGAATAACAGTACTGCCCCCTTGTTCATTCCCAAAAGGCCTTGCATTCTGTGAAAATATTACTAATTTTTGTGAATGGTGGACAGGGCAGGGAGGGTGAATGGCACAATCCTTCACAGCCACAGCCGCAGCTATTAACCTTCTCAGTGCAGGAAGATCACCGCTGTGGGGAGTATCCAGGGCCAATGGAGGCAGAATTTTTACAGTAACTGGCAGCCAGCAGGACATGAGATTCGGTTTATTAGGGGTAACTTATTTGACAAGTGCTGTATGCCCAATTTATATTTCTTACTTGAGTTCAGTTTTAAACATCATTATCTCTGTTTTCCATAAAAGACCTTCTAGACTTGTGTCATTGGCAGCCAGAGAGAAAGATAAGTATTTTTCAAAGCACAGAAGTTAGTATGGTAATACTAAAAAATATATACTATGAATATATAATTAGGCAAAAGTGAAATGTTGAAGTTTTAAAGAAAAATGTGACGGTAAAGAACGGAGAAAAAAAAATTAAAAATGGTGACCCTGAGATATAATGTGCAAGCCTTGAAATATACCTAATGCTCCGGAGTCTCCAATGTATGCGTATAGCTTGTGTATGGTGTGTTCCAGCCAAGCCCGCATGTCATCGTCCAGGTGTTTCCTGCACTTTTTAGTCCAGGACTGGCCCTAACCTGCTATGTATAGAGATCAGCACAGTGTATCCTGTAGAGACACCAAGCCCTTCCCTGTTACACTGACCTGCACTACAGCCATTACTGAATCCACCCCATAGACAGATGAGATCACTTGGCAGGCTGTGTCAGGTCGCTCACATGAGATTCTTAACAAATAAATAAATATATTATGTTGGAAAGGAATGTGTTTAGATACCTGGGATCTACGGGATATCAAAAATGTTAAGGCCCAGGAAACATTTTACACAAGAAAAAAGAAAAATACTATTGAAGTGATAAGTGATAACACCAAAGATAACCAGTCACAAGTGGGCATGTGCAAAATCTGAATATTCTGAAAATTATAACAGCTCGGAAAATTATAATTGAAAGATTCATAATTACGCCTTATCAGGCTTTATTTTTTTTAAAGAGACTCTGTCAGTGAACCTGCACCCAGATCATGCACACTAAACTATTTACATATTCTGGAAAAGCACTTGAAAAAAGCCCTCACTGACCTCTGTAGCTATCGGCATTGTGGAGAAGTTTGTCTTCAAATTTCACAAAATCTCAGCTATATGCCACGGAGAGCAGATCTTGGCAGCCTGCCAGCCCACTGATGTAAAACGTGCCGAAGGCATTTACTTAAAAATGACTTCAAAGTCTTTGTTGTGATCTTTGACAATTAATTACTTTACAGTACAAGCAGCTAGAGAGGTCAGTGATGGCTTGTTTAAAAGATCTTCTACTGCTCCCCCCCCCCCCCACATTTTTCTCAAGCTGCACTCCCCTGCTGATCTGTTCCTCTCCCAGAGACATTGGGAAATAACCAGCTATGGGGTAACATGTGACTTGCTGCCATTGCGTAGTGCCTAGGGCTTAGTGGCCAATTGCCAGGCCTGAACACTGTCATGTCAGGAAGCTCTGACACTCCAACTGTGGAGGAACTGAGTGGTGGAAAAGGTGGGTCTAAGGTGGTTGGGGGTGGGCTTTAAGGTGAAGAAAGGAATGTATTTCTTCTCTTATTAGCAGGTACACATCCTACTGAAAGTTGTGTGTCATAACGGGTTTGCTTTAAGGGGAAAGTAAACAACTGCCAGGCTCTGTTATTTGGCACAGTTATGCACCCTCAGGAGTGCAACCGTCACACTCCAAGTGACCACTGACTGCTGACACTCAAGCTGCTCCACTAGGTTAACCCCTATAGATATAGATACACCCATCTTCTGAATGGCCCTTTATCTGAGCCTGTAAAAATGCAAGCCATTATGTTCCTGTTCTTCCCTCCCCTCCAATCTCACTCATACATATTGAAACTTAAAAGGCAGTTTGTACATCACACTAACATGTAACAGGAAGTTGCAGTTCTGCACAAAAATGTCTGATTAAACAAATGGGGGAAGCTCTCTGACTTTAGCACTATTGCAGTGCAGTACAGCATTAGCAATTTATTGATTGTTTTCACATGTGCCTGGCATTGCTCGGCAAAATCCCACCACCACCCTCCTTCCGCATTTGACATTACAAGATAAGGCAGCAAAGTCATCCACTTTGTAAACAGGAAGGATTATTTCTTTTCTTATGCATCTTATTCCATTATTTCTATATAGGTCATTTGCTGGTATCATCATTATTGAGTTATATAGTGCCAACATTTTCGGGAGCACAGTACAAGGTAAGGACATAGGGCCTGTAACAAAGATATTACTATTGGTAAAGCAATAGGCATGAGGTCCCTGCCCAAATGTGTTTGCAGTTTAACAGAAGGGATATGTACAAGAAGCAAGAGGATATAGCAGTAGAACTTGGAGAAGCATTAATTGTGGGTGAAGCCCAGAAATCTTGGGACATAAGGCATTGTGGACCAAGGTTACCCTTTGTTCTGAAAAGAGGTGCTTATAAGATGCATTTAAATACTTGGAGGATTATTGAGAATTTACCAGCGTGTGGAAAGGAGAAGCATTAGAGAAGTCCCAGAGACTTGAGTTAGAGCTGGTGGCCAGGAAGGCAAAGAGACGCCTCATGTAGTGTATGTCTGTGGTCCTCAGAGGGGGCAACAGATTGTTCGGGGCTTCAGATCTTGCGTGTTGCCCTGAGGAACTTTAGACACACAGTAGGCCATATCTATGTGAGCAATGTGTAGACAGCTGTGTCCACAGTTCCCACTTGGCAACAAGCAAAGGGTTCAACAGTTCCCACTGGGCACAATTAATAATTCAATGGCCTTTACAACTGTAAGAGAATAAGATACGTAATAAATACCATGTGGAAAGCAGATTTTTACAACCTTTCCCTATAACACCAGGTTACACTTTAAACCTGGAAGAACTGTTTAGTGACACACAGGAGAATTGTAACACTTTGTGGTCTACCTCAGTTTGCCTTTTTCATGTCTGTTTTTTTTTTCTTTCTAATAAAAAAGTACAGAAAACACAATTCTAGGCAATACATAAGTAAGTGCTACCTGCAACCACAGTTTTCTACAACCATGTCCTCATACTGCTTGTAGACCACGTTGTTGCCAGAGTCTATGTATAGGATACTTATAGGACTGAGTTTGGAAGGGACACAACAGCTGGGTGGCGTGGACTCCGGGTCCATTGAATTCATTAAGGTCTGGATTATGGCATGGTTGGTAGGCTCCAGATGGGATCTTAGAGGAAAATCACACATACCCTCGCAATGATAAGCTTCATAATCCAACGGGGCTATTATCCAGTCATCCCAGCCAAGCTCTTTGAAGTTGACATGCAAGGGCTTCTTACTACACCTTGTTTTAGCCCTTTTGCCTTGTCCTTTGTTGTGACTTGTCCTGGTTGGCAACGTTGTCCTTTTCCTTCTTCTTTTAATGACGGACCTTTGGTCATGATCGGGAGGATCTGCTCCTTTAGGGTTTTCCATTGACTTAATTTTGTCCCTTATCTCCTTGAAAAGGTTCTCTTTCCTCTTAGAATAGGAGGAGACCACCAGCAAAGCTTTTTCCGGTTCTGCTAAACCCAAGCGATTAAATCCAAGCTGGGCTGGAGGCAAGTATCGGTCTGTGAGATCAGAGACTATCTTTAAGGTAAAGCACAAATGCTCACCAGGACTTTTCCTGTTGTCCATGGCATTCCAGACATTAAATACTTCCCATTTGGAGAAGGTGGCCATAAGGTCAGCAGTACGGGAGTCTAGGAGGATGGGCTCCTCCCAGGTGGTAACACAAGTGTAAAGGTGAAGGTGAACAACATTCCCTGAGTCTAATACCACAAGGCTTATGTTCTCAGGAGGTTTGCGTAAAATCCTTAGCTCAGCGCCCACAATCTCATCCAAGGAAGACAACGTGCTGGTGTCAAACAGGTAGTTCTGCTCCAGGGACTGAAGAGGAACTTTATCTGGAAAGGAAAAAATAAAGAACCTTAATATTATCACAGTAAGGTGTCACACATCTCACAGCTCATAAACTTTTACTAAAGCCTGGTGCCTTGCCAAGCAGAATATAACAATGTATTCACGGTGTGTCTGTACAAATTACATCCCATTGTGCTTTGTACAGTGTATATGACGAATGATTTTACTCTGCTGGGCTACAGAACACCATTCACCCTTATGCTATGGAGATGGTGAGATGGGATGTTGATGGGAAATATTTATGATTGCATGCACCAATTATGTTTTTTTTGTTTTGCCCAAATATACTGTATACTTTAGTATCTGTACAGCAATGACTATATGAGAAATGTTTACACATTTATGTACAAACTATTATATTCAATAGATATTTCTTCTCTGAGCTTGCTCTTGGACTTGAGATGTATTGACCATTTTTCTAGGATATACTTACACGGCTATGCACATATTTACTAAACTGTGTTATATGTTTATATTTTTACCAAAAATGTATTTACTCATTTTATTGCCCCAGAAATATTCTATAGATCATGTATTATTTCGTCAGAGTTATCCCTGCACCTTTCCTGGGGAAGTAGCAAGCCTTGCTACAAGTTGCATTGAGATGGTGTAAAAACTACTTTTGTGTATTACTAAGGACCCATTTTTTTTTTAACCACTTCCCCTCTCACACCTGTATACATGACTAATTTTTCATTTATTTACTTCTGCTCTGGGTCTATTCAGGGCCAGTGCTTCCACTAGGCAAACCAGGCAGCCACCTAGGGCTTACTGCTGCCTAGGGCGCATCTTCAAACACTCACCCACCCCCATCTATTTTGAATTGCAAAAGTCAAGAGCAGGCTGGCTATTGCACCCGCCCACTGAGCAGAGGAGCATAACTGAAAGATAACTTTCTCTCTGAGGTCCGCTCATCTGCTCAGTGGGAGGGTTTCAATAGCCAGTGTTCCTATTAGCTATTTCAAATTAAAATAGCCAATAGCAGTCTGGCTATTGCCCCCCGGTGCTTGCATTCACTTGTCGCCTGCGGAAGGTAGCCGTCAGGAGAATGGGGCCGCGCGGGGGGGAGGGGAATGGGGGTTGCACCGCAGGAGGGGGACTGGGGGGTGCAAGTAGCTGGTCTTGCCTATGGCGCAAAATAGTCTAGCACCGGCCCTGGGTCTATTGAATAATATTATCCATAGATAACGGGTATAATATTACCTATAGATTACGTAACATAACAAAGTCATATATTAAGATCATTTTTATCATAATATAATTTTTTAGGGCAAACAGGGTTTCTTTCTGTGATATTGTCTTACAGGAATAATTTTATTTTTGTATATAATCCATAGACAGAATCTGTAACAAAACTAAAAGAAAAACACAGATTTTCTACTTTTGATAGTTAAAAAAAGAAAAATTGAATTACTGTAGCTAAGTATAAGTTATCATTTGTCCCATTTAAATGACATAAAAATTATGATTATGGTACAAAGCATTGCACGGTTACTTATAAAAGAAATAAAGGCTTTTTAAGACATTTTGCACTCTTTTTTTCTATGTGCTGCTGAAAAAATTAATAAATATAACAAAAATACAAATTTAAAAAGTTTAAATAATAATGGTTAGTTGTGAGGGGATTTAAAATGGGCAGGTTGTGCAAGAACACTCACAAAATGTCTTGCAACTCTAGGAATTTTGCATAGGGGAGTGGCCTACAATTTCACACAGTCAATGTCAGTTGTTGTTTTTTTTTTTGCCTAAAATGGGCTTTCAGTGCGTTCCAGGGCGTTTGAATGCTTTTTTGATGTGTTTGCATGCATTCCAGAGCAGGTAAAATAGGGCTTGCTGCAGTTTTATTTACATGCTCTGGAACTGAACGCTGCGGTGTGAACTAGAGCCCAAACTACCATTGGAATACATTGGACGCAGTTTTGATACGTTCTGTAACTGCTCTGCTCCAGGAACGCGCTTGGTGTGAACTAGCCCTTAAAGTGACTCTAAACTCGGGAGTTGAATCTTAAAATGCACTCAAGTACCTTAAAGGAGAACTATGAGGTGAGTGATTTTCATGTTACAGGTCATGTGACATATAAATCTCCGAAGCACTGGATACAGCAAAGCATTATGTGAATGGCCACATCCAGGGGGAAGTTTGTGTTGGTATATCAAAGTAGGGGGACTCCAGCCAACATTTTGGGGAGGGGTCAAAAACAGTGTCAGGTTTTTTTTGTACTTATTTGGATTCTTTCTTCACTTCTTGTACTCCCGTGTTGGACTACAATCTCAATACAAATTAGTAAACCAAACATGAGATTGTAGTCCATCATTAGAGCGAGCTTGGAGCGGTGACTACTATACAACACACACAGGGACCATGGGGAACAAAAGCAGCCCCCCTCCAGAAGGAAGGACAGTGTCAGCACCAATTCAGAGATGATTTGAGAATCTACAGCCGAGTGATAGACAAATAAGATACATTTTTTAATGTTAAAAGAGAACTATGGGGGAAGTGTTTTTCCCCAAAGTTCTCTTAAGGGTCACAGGAGGACATATACTAGCATCCTCCCATGATCCAAAGCTTAGTATATCGCGAGCTAAAACTTGTGGTATACTGAGACCGCTGCAGTCGGGATGGATCCCAACAATGCTGTCAAGATCCACCCAGCTGCGTGAGTGACAGTGGGCTCTGCCTATCTACAGGCAAAGTCAGCTGTACCCGGCCCCTCCCCAGTCCGTTCCTCCAGTCAGCGCTGGAGGATCAAAGCATGGAGGGGGGAATCCCTGCAGGGAGCCGTGACTGACAATCAGTGCTCTGCAGGGACAGGATCGAGAAGTGAGCGAGTGACGGTATGTGTTCGCTCACTTCCCGATCTAATGAGCTGACGCGTTTCATTGTCACACGCCGGCTCGAACTATACGGTTGAGTGATTTTCACTCACCTCATAGTTCCTCTTTAAATGTTGTACCCCAAAACACTATACTAAAATACATAAGAGGTTACAACGAGTAAATAGATACCCAACATGCCCAAGTTAAAAATTGTGTGCGTCTGTGAAACTGCAACAGAATTCAGTACCTGAAAAAGTCCATATACAATGCTTTAAAAGCCCCTCCAGGTCATCAGTTTAGAGACCCATGTAAATATTGGCCCTAGAATTATTGCTCTCACTCTAGAGTGTGTGGCAATACCCAACATGTGTAGCGCCATTGTCGTTTTCATACGTAGGCGCACCTGACACGTGTTTATGTGACAATGCGGGTGCTCGCAGGGGCAAAGGGGCTTTAAAAAAATATTTAAATAATTTTTACATTTAATTTATTTAAAATTACTTTTAAAACAGTTTTTGTGTTAACTTTACTTTAATTGCTATCACATAGGGGGGCTTACATGTGATAGCATATTGGCAGTGATGGGTACTCTTTAAGGTGACGCTGGGGGTCCAAAAGACCCCCAGCGTCTTTTGGACCCCCAGGCTATTGAAGTGCAGATCACACTTCATGAACTTATTGCTGGGCTTCAGGAGCCGATCAATGATAGCTATGGGATCTGAAGTGATGCAATATGCGTCACTCCCGGTCCCATAGTACGGGGAAGAAATCGGTGAACGCCGATCACCAACCTCCTCCCCAGCTTCCTGCCGACACCCGGCAAGCCAGTCCTGGGCCCGTAGGAAGGGCAGCAGAGCCCAGGAAGCACAGCGGGTGTGTCAGGAGGGAGCAGGGGTGTCCGGGGGTGGGGGGCGGCCCGGTTACTATATCGTAGAAGCGAACTGCCGGCAGCTGAGCCACCAGAATTGCTTCTACTGTAAAGCCGGCCGTCGGCTCTACAAAACTGAACAGACTCCCGGTATCTGTTTAACCCCTTCAGACTCATGACGGGATTATCCCGTCATGGGTTGGAAGGGGTTAAGATAAAATCAGGTTGGCAGCATGTGATGGCTACATATTAATATTATTATTCAGAATTTTTATACTGCCAACTGTATTGCCAATTGTATTGTTAACTGCGTGAGCTACGCATCGCTTTACAAAACGAAGGGAGACAATGCAGTTAACAATACAATTTTAATACAGGAGGGCCTTGCTCGTGAAAGTTTACAATCTAGTCATAGATATTGACATTTGTATCTACAATAAACTGTTAAAGCGGAATTCCCGGTCTACTGGACAGTTTGTCCTTCTGTCTGCCATCTTCAGAGCTGAAAACTCTCCAGCCAATCAGATTGATTACTGAGAACTATGAGAATGACTTATTCAGTTCTGTCTATCATTTGCAGATTGAGCTATTCATCTCTGTACACAACAGGTAGTAAGGAGAAGGCATAGCTTCTTTAAAGTGGAATGGTGACACCAGGGTGACCGTAATGTCACCTAAAAGAGAACCCGTCACCACTAATATGTTATCACATATGGGGGTTGTAAGCCCCCCTCGCCATGTGACAGCAATGAAGGAAAGTAAAAGAAAAAATAAATAAATAAAATACATTTTGAAATACAAAAAAATGTAAAGTCCCCCCGTGAACATGCACATACTGTTGTAAACACGCGTCGGGTGTACCTACCGGTATCTACGAAAATAACAAATTAATTACACGTTAGGTATTGCCATGTGCGCCAGAGTGAGAGCAATGATACGGCCAATATTCATGGTTAAAGTACAATTAAACCTTCTGGGTTTTTGCATATATCTATGGCTAGCAAGAAGTAGATATATGTAAAAACATTTTTTTTTAAAAAGGTTCCAAAAAGGTTATTACTTGCCTGTGTCTCGGCCGCGCGTACCGTCAAAAGATCTGAAGATTCTCGAGCGCCCGCGAAAGATCATGGGGCAGGCGCATGCGTAGTAGAGATCTTGGGCCGGGAGAAGAGGAGATACACAGGGTAAGCTAATGCAGGCAGCGTGGACGTGGACAGACGCTGTGGTACAGGAAGACACAGCAGTCAGCGCTGGATCAGAGACAGGGACCAGCGCTGGAGGGATTCCTGAAAACTACAG